ACCAGCCTAACTAGTTCTCTTAGTCTGCTCCTGTTTCTCCTGCTTTGATCTATTTGCTCCCATCCATCCATCCATCCATCCATCCATCCATCCATCCATCCATCCATCCATCCATCCATCCATCCATCCATCCATCCATCCATCCATCCAACATACACACACCATACAGTGACGCACGTATCTGGGAACCAGAGGAAACTGAGCTTCTGTCTTCTGTGTTTTCTCTTCGATCTTCTCTTTTCATTTTGTTTTTTTTGTCTCTCTCCACCTCTTCTGTCCTTCTCTTCTCAATTGTACGCTGCCTTAAACCCTCTAGCTCTGGTCTGAGCGAAGGACTGTGAGGTTTGTGGCACATTCCTGAGTGACATGTTGTCCTGTCTCTTACCAGGCGAGAGCCCCCCCACCCCCCAAATAACAATGTTGTTCAGTCAGACCTCAAAGTTAACCCTTTGCCAGTCTTTTTACATCTGAGTCGCTGCAGTTAAATTAGAAGTTAGTATCTATCTAACCTAAAAAGCATTGTGAAGTAAAATAATAAAGATTGTGTTTTGCTTTCTTTAAATTAGCACAGTAGTAGATTTTCCCCAATGATTGTCTTTGATCACTTGTAATTTCCTTAAGGTAATTTTCATTTTCTTCTTTCTTCCAGTGTTTTGTCCGACATAGAGGGAGTCTAAAGATCTGCAGAGAGTAAAAGTTAAAAAGAAGAGGACTTGTGAAGCACACTTAATTTATTCCTGACTGTTATTACCTCCATGTGTGTTTTTCTTAAATTTATGTTAAGGTTGAAGACTGTTATTTGCAAATATATGGCATTTCTGCATTTTTCCACTTTTTTTTTATTCCATTGAATATTAAATGATTTAATTAAGGGCAAAGTGGTAAAGCTAAGGGCTTAGTAAAAACGAACATTCATTTCCTGAGCCAAGAATCAAATGCAACTACAGTGGAGTATTTTTAAAAAAAAAGAGCAAAACATTTTGTAAGCACAAAAGAGCAAAAGGACAAGATCTTTATCCCGGCACAGGAAGTGGGAACTGAGAGAAGAGAGGCTGAATAATAAACAAACTGATACATAAGATGTTATAAACAAAAAATAGAAATGCATTCTGTATCACTGAAAGACAACAATCTGCCCTTATCTTATCAGTACTCTACCTCCAGCACCATTGATAAACTCAACATGCAGCAATACATGACCTGCTGTAAGCTGGAATGACGAATAAAAAAAAGAAAACCATCTATGCATTCGAGTAGAAGCTGCATCTGAGATCAAAACGCTTCGTGTGAAGCAGACCTCGACTCCTACTGTGTTCCTACCAGCTGCCTTTGCCAGAACTTTTCTACATCATGGAGAATTTATTTTCACTAACTGATGAATGTCGTTATAATAGACTACCTACAGAGGCAATGTTGCTATTTATTTATTTATGTAAATACTGTATTTGGATAATAGAGATCTTCATGTGTTTGTTTATTTTACTACTGAGTATAAATAATAAAGTCGATAATAAAAACAAACTGCTCAGTATGTGTTGAAACTTCATAATCTTCTTGCTCAATGCTTCCAGCGTTTATTAGAGATCCAGGTAAAGAGGAACAGAAACCTGGGGACATTTTATACATACAATCCTTCAGCCAAAAACAAAACAATTAATTTTATTATTCAGTAATGCGAACCCACATGTTGGTGACTTATATTTTACAAAATATGGAAAGAAGATTCTTTGTGTGTGTCTTTTTACACCATCTTTTTAGAGGAGAACATAAACAATCCCTATAATCCTGCTTTCTTCTCAGCTCACATCACAGGTTTCCTATAGGATGCAGGTTTGAGATGCTGATGAATGAAGAGATACATTTCACCCAGTCAACCAGAGTTTTTTGTAAAGAAAACGAGGTGTGTCCTAAAAAAAGGGCCCTTTGACTGTTCTGCAGCATAACAAATCATACTTCATTCTTAACAGTGACCGTTTGGTGTTTCTTTTAATGTATTTTTGTTTTGCTTTGAATCCTAATTCAGTCTCATCTGAAGCACAATGCTTCAATTAAATAGTTTAGCAACAAAGTGTTGTTTTTTTTTTTAAACTTGTGATAGTTGGACAGAGGGGGCTTTATTTTTCAAGTACATCCCCCCAAAAAACTGCGTAGTCTGTCAACCATGGTCATCATTGCTCCAGTAGACCAGAAATAACTACATGTCCTCCTCAGCATGCCATATTGTCTGCAGAAGTCTAGTTATTTACCAAAGACAGGCGTGTTTCTACAGAGGAACACATAAAAGCTGATTGACAGCAAATGAATACTGTTTAAGAGAAGAAGAATTTGATCAATGTTCTTTCAGGCCCGGACAATAATTTAATACGTCAGAAATACTTACATGCAGAAACACCAAATAGTCTTCATAGGTCTTTCCAGCTTCAGATCAACACCTTGATGCCAATTTCTCTGAAACAACACTAGCAACAATATTTGCCCTGGAAATCAAGACTTAGCTGGAAGAACTTAAAAAAAAAAAAACTGCAAGAACAGAAAAATGCTAACAGGGTCTGGCAACCCTAGCAGAGTTTTTATTTTACCATATTTACTAGTAACTGTCTAAAGTGGCAACACAAACTTTGGCCTCCCAAAGCACTCCAGGTTTAACCTCTTTTATTATTGCTTTGACTAGAAGGTTAATTAACTGATTTCCTGACCTATGACTGCTGACACAAATCAAATTTGATTGAGAGACACTTTTCTTTGTTTGATAAGGTGGTGAAAAAATGGGCCTCAGTATCACTTCAGTATATCAGGAAGCCCTTTGTTATGTGATTTAATAGTAAAGCATGGCATCAATGATCTGGAATTTCACCGAATCAGTTATAGTTTTTCTCTTTTGGTTCTGCTCATTTCTTGAAACCAAAATTTCACCCTCAAAACCTCGAATATCAATTGTCAATACAGTCTTACAAATTAACACAACACAGTAGTTAGCTTGCAAAAGCATATATGTCTTCCAAAACTGTTCACTTTCCCTTCAATAGTTTTTGAATTTCTGACAAATTTCTCACAAAACTCACGAGTGCCACCACAAAAAGCAAAAATTCTTCTTAATTCTTCAAGTTGTTTTCCATTTTAGGGTTATGCCAAAACCAACCATGCTAAATGTAAGCTACATATACTGAATCATTTGCCTACATGTACAAAGACTTTGCAAATGTTCCAAAGTGAATGAGAAATTCAATTCTGTTGTGAGCAATTGCCAAGAGTTTTGGATGTTTGTTCGTATTATTTCAGGAAAGTCATTTCTGTTTCAAGAAATTAACCAAAATAATGTAGAAAAACTGTAATGTAGTGTAAAAGTGAGAAGATGCTGAGAAACCTTTTCTAAAATGGAGAAACATACTCAGCTGAAAAGAAAAATGTCTTTGTGCTTAGATTAACAAGAATAAAAGGATTTCTACCATTTTTATACAGTAAAATCTATTTTTTTTAAGTAGAAACAACTTTGTATGCACCAGCCAGGATTTATAGTTTATATCTTTCAGCATTGTTGAAAAAATGAAGATGTGAAATCAATGTCTTTTGTCATTTGGTTATGAGGCTGGAAATCTGTGCAATGACATGAGAAATTGTTGACATTTTCATGCACAATGACCCAATATTTACAATAAATAACTGAATAAATAGCTGAAAGTACAACTAGATTTGAAGCCCATAATAGAGTTCCTTTGTTATGTAAGACCCTGCCACGTGTTTGCAGCGCCTTGTTCAACTCTCTGAAGAGATCCAGATGTAGACTCAAGACACCCCAAAACATCAGACCTCTGGCGCCTGAACTGCAGTCACTCCAGGCAACAGAAAGGAAAACAAAAGATTACATATTCGGTTGAAAAAAGTAAAATATTCACAGAAAAAGATTACTTTGCCTTGCAGATTGTGCATTCTTAGACTTAGACAACTTTTAATGTCCTTTTGTATATACAGAGTGCATACAAAAGAAAAACTTCATTTTGCACAGCTTTCAGACAGTAAATGAGCAACAGCTAAGCAGTGAAATGAACATTTCCTTTCCATAAAGTGCAGCAGTGATCAAATGTAAACAGTGTGGGAGAAAAGACATTGTGCAAAATGCATTGATATGGAAGTTCAGAGCATTTCAAGGAAAATATATATATAGTGCAGATATGCAGTATTTTGGTTTGGTGTTATCAGTGTGATGTAGAATCTGTAACTTGATTTAAAATGTTCTCAACAGTTCAGCTGTCTGATGGCAGTGGGGAAGAAACTGTTGCAAAGTCTCTTCCCAGAGGGCAGCAGAGAGAACAGTCCATGGTGGGGGTGTGAGGGGTCATTGATGATGTTACGGGTTCGGGACACGCAGCGCTGGGATGAAATGTCTTTAATAGAGAGAAGAGGAGCCCCAGTGATCCTCTCTGCTGTTCTCACCACTCTTCTCACCTTCTTCCAGTCTGAGGTGCTGCAGCCTCCACACCACACAGTGAGAAAGCTGGTCAGAACGCGCTCTATGGTGCTTCTGTAAAAGGTGGTGAGGATGGGTGGGGCAGGCGGGCTCTCCTCATCCTCCGCAGGAAGTACAAGCGCTTCTTTGCCATTTTGACCAGTAAGGTGTTGTTAATAGAGCAGGTGAGGTTTTCTGTGATGTGTGCACCCCCAGGAATTTGGTTCGGGTTCGTCCTGAAGTTTCTGTTGAGACGACAACAATTCTTGGTAAATAACAAGCAAATCTAAATAGAATTCTTCATCAAAACATAAGAAATGTTGATTCTAGCAACACAATACGACATAGCAAGTGATAAAACTGATACAGATAAGGTCCTCTTATGATTAACAAATGGAGCATTTAAAAAAGCCTGTCCGTCACCTTCGCTCTCCAATAAGAAAAAAACAACATAAAAAAAAAAAAAACGCAGCTGTTTGACATCTGTTAAACATTTGTTCTCCCTGAGATAAGACTTCCTCTTATGTTCTGCCTGCCCTTCAGCACCAGGCTCCAAGCTTTGCTCAGAGTTGAGAGGAGCTGCAGCAGGGGAGCAGTTTTGTTAACTGTAGAGTCAAGCTTTTTCTCTTCAATCATGGATCTTCGAGGGATTCCAGTAACATTTTGTCTGCTTCTGCTGATGCACTGCTCACTGCAGCAAACCTCCTCCAAGAAGAGAAATGGCAAGAAGGGTAAGATTTTCTGTCAGACCTTTGCAAAATATACATAATTTAACATTTCCACATAATCTCTAGTGTCAACAACCGATTCCAATGTATCTAAAGAAGTTTCGAAATGTTAGACCTCCAAAAAAAGGAGAAAAGTTAGCAAATGTTGAAGGGGAATGATCGATTTTCATAGATGAATACAGATTATACATTTTTCTAAAGCTCTGCTGCTTAAGGTACCCAGTAATACTTAGAAAATGTGATGTTTGTGCTTCTTAAACCAGATTCTGCTGCAATTGAGAAGTTGCAGAAGCAGATTGACGACATCGTTCAGGAGCTCAACATGTTGAAGGAACACCAAGCCTTACAGACAGGTAGGTTTTAAATGATGAATGAGAAAGAAGGTTAATATGAGGCGCTGCAAGCTATGTGTTTGTTTTATTGGATAAGTTAAACGCATGAGCCACATTGTTTTTGTCTGCCTCCCTAGTTTGTCTGAAAGGCACCAAAATTCTCGGAAAGTGTTTCCTGGCCGATCCAGTGAAGAAGACCTTCCACACCGCCAGCGAAGACTGCATCGCCAAGGGAGGCACCCTGAGTACTCCTCTAACGGGAGATGAGAACGACCAACTGTACAGCTACGTTCGCCAGAGCATTGGCTTGGAGGAGCAAATCTGGTTGGGCATCAATGACATGGTGACCGACGGACATTGGTTGGACCAAACAGGGTCCAGTGTGCGCTTCAAAAACTGGGAGACTGAGATCACCCAGCAGCCTGATGGAGGTCGCACTCAAAACTGCGCCATCTTGTCCATCACAGCAAACGGAAAGTGGTTTGATGAGAGCTGCAAAGCTGAAAAGGCCTCAGTGTGTGAGTTTAAAATTGTCTGAGAGCTTTGCTGTCACTGGTTTGTGTAAACCCTGATATCACTCTATGCAGATGATATTAGCATTTAAACAGAAAATCGATTAGGTTCCATCGTTCCAAGAAAGTAAATGTCGCAGTATAAGCTACTCATTTGAGCGTTTATGTAAGTTATACAATTACTTATGTATATTCTTAAATACTTTAGATATCATTAAACATAATATCTGTATTCCCTGTCTTTGTATTGCCTGCTTAATGTAATAAAACTTAGTTTTATAACAAATGTGTGTTTTCTATGGCATGTGTCCAGTTTTTATTAATGCAAGACATGCTGCCTATATTACAGAATATTGATCAAAATGTGTAGCTATTAATGAAATTCTCAGGAGCTGTAAAAAAAGAGTTGTGTAAAATGTCATAAAAAGGAATCTAGGATATTGAAAGTCTGCATGAAAAATAAAACTAAAGCTTAATATATTTAATCCTCAGGAAGATGAGTGTAAAGACAACATCTAAACTGCAAAGGGAACAGCAGAAAAAAAAATCCCCTTCTTCTCTTTTTCATATTTTAACAAACACAATCTTGAACTCCTAATTCTTTGTTTCGAAGCAGACGGCATTTTTAAATACACTGATCAGGGTTCCATCAGGCTTTGATGGTTTTTTTTTAAAGCTTGCTTAATAACTCTTTTATTAGGCTAGCAACTGAGTAAGAACTCTTAATTTTGATCCCAAAACTGTAAAAAAAAAAAAAGGTCTCCTGAACCCAACGGGTCAGCCAGTGTTTGCAAACATAAACAACTTACAAATATAATTACATAACAGATCCTGCTACTCTTTTGATTTTTTGAATTGTTTTAATCTAGCTACATTGATGGATTAGGTAATAATCCACAGCCCTTCGATTGCATTACAGCAAAAACATTAACTAACTAGCTCCACAACTTTAATTTTAAATTGGTCAGACATTTATAGGTAAACATGCCGGACACTTCATTTACATATCACTTTTAATAAAAATGCCTCTGTTCAAAGTGCTGTACATAGAGACAATTATATATATATATATATATATATATA